GGGGGAAGGTGTGTAAGTGTTAGTCGAGTGGGGATGCCCCCTCACGGGGGCGTACGTGTCTTTTGGTGTATTTGTCTGTCTGGTATATTGTTTGTCGGGGGTCGCAATTTTAAAGAAATGTATTCTAAAGTAATGCAAATAACTGATAAATAAGTAAAAACTTACCTGGGCATAACCCCGGCACAGGTGCTGTAACAAAGATGCCGACGGCGTCTATGCTTAAGCCGGGGATTAGGTCGGTGATTAAAAGGAAAGAAAGGGATTCTTTCCAGGTAGCCTTAATAAAGGCAGGTAGAAATTGCTCCTTGCACTACACTTTCACAAAACACGTGTGCTCTGGTCGGCTGCCCGCTAGGAACTGAAAGTTAGGTAGTACGCGGATCATATTCGATCCGCCTCGCAATATTTTCGAGGCCCGACTGTCACGGGTCAGTGATCCGATCCGGATCACTGATCAGGTTCAGTCGAGAACACGAATTAATTTAAGAATCCGTGGTCGAGAACGACGTGAGTGGCCCATCTCTCTCTATTTCTATTGGCAGCCTTGCGCGTTACTGTCTACCAATGAACTCTATGGTACGTAGTACAGAGTTTACTGCCTTCTACCTCTACCGTCACGGTCGACAACGACAACACAGATCTAGATCTGTGGTCTACAATGACAGTTGACAATTGATTTATAAATTGTCCATTGTCCAACTTTAAACTTCACGTTTATGTACTTTAGGTGCTGTTCGTTTTTGCAATTAAAAAAAAATCAAGACCAAGATCCAAGATGCCTAAATTTACAAGCAAGAAGAGTGATGTGTGGAACTTTTTTTCGGCTCAAGGTAACCAAACTCATACTCATACAAATGAAATTGTTTTTTTAAATTCTTTGGACTCTGTTTATTGGGATATGTAAACTGTAAATGTGAAATAATAAATAAAATGAAGAAAATTACATTGTTTTTTTTTTATTGTGATGCAACTTATTGTTGATTTTATTGAAGTAATAAAATTTTTCCAAAATAACCGATTTTTCACGAATCCCGTTATTAAAAAAAACCTGCATTTCTATAATAAGCGGTTAACCGGATAACCGGTTATTTAATGTTAGGTTAACCTGACAGGTTATTTTATTTCTTAAATTAACCGGTTATTAATTAACCGGTTTTTTTTTCATAACCGCGCATCCCTAACAGATGACAGAAGACAAAACACAAGACAGAACGACAGAACGCAATAACAAATGATAGGTGCGTTTTATTGGATTGATTCTGGAATTGAATTATGCAGAATGGGCGTTTTACTGGAAGGATGTTCTGAATCCGGTTACAACTTTTGCTTCTGTGGCTTGAGACGGAATTATTAGAATTAAGTCAATTAAGTGGTGAGGAGAACAAATTTTTGAGGTTAGGTAGCTGGTAGCTGGTGGTCCGTTGAGATTCGGCCACAGACAAAGATTCGGCATCTGTCTAATGTCACATTTGATTCGAATCGTTTTATTGATAAATGTCATTCTAAAGAATCCAATAAATTTCGGATTGATCCAACACATCCAACTACCGGCCCATTAGCCTGCTCCCGGCTATGAGCAAAGTGGTAGAAAAAATTATCCTAACCCGTCTAAGAACCCACTCCCAAGAAC